TCAAAGATGACTTCTATGAGCAACTCGAAAGAACGCTGGAGAGAATTCCCAAACAAGACATGCAAATAATCTGCGGAGACTTCAACGCAAAAATTGGCAAAGAACTTAACCTAAGACCGACAATAGGACAACACAGTCTCCACGATATCTCCAACGATAATGGACAAAGGCTCGTAGAGCTAGCATCGGCTAACAATATGCCTGTAAAGCCTACTATGTTCCAACATAAAAACATTCATAAACAGACTTGGGTCTCTAATGACAACTCCACACGGAACCAAATTGACCACATAATTGTTGATGCTAGACACGGAAGTAATGTCCTTGACGTAAGAAGCCTCAGGGGCGTAGATGGAGATACAGACCATTACCTAGTAAGAGCAAAAATCAGGTTGAGAATATCATCACAGAAACTTAAAACGAACGAAGCATTGGGACAGTGGAACATTGAGAAAACGCAAAATAAGGAAATCCGAGACAATTACGTACAGGAAATGGAACAACATCTAAATAGAATAGACCAAAGCAATGATGTCGAAAGGCTGTGGCAACAAATGGAAAAATCAATTACAGAGTCAGCAGAACTAATAATAGGAAAAAGAAGGACGAAAACAAGAAAATGGTTTGATAAAGAATGCCAAGAAAAACTACAAGACAGACAAAAAAAGCGAAACATTATGCTTCAACAAGAAACAACAGAAAGTAAAGAAAACTATACAACATCACGACGAGAAACAAGAAAACTAATTAGAGAGAAAATAAAGAAAATACGAACAACAGCAGTATGAAGAAATGGAAAGAAATAGACAACAGTCAAGTACGGAGGAGAAACTTTACATAGACAATTACACAAACTAATAACACTTATATGGAACGAAGAGAAAATACCAACAAAATGGCACGAGTGTAATAATTCCTATCCATAAAAAGGGAGACAAAACCAAGTGCTCTAATTATAGAGGCATCTCCCTACTTAATACGGCGAACAAAATCTTATCGAACATCCTATTAAGTAGACTAACACCTTTTGTAGAAAATCTCATAGGGGAATACCAAGCCGGATTCAGAAAAAATAGATCGACCATAGATCAGATTTTTACTCTCAGGCAGCTGCTTGAAAAAGGATGGGAATTCAATAGAACCATTCATAATCTCTTCATAGATTTCCGACAAGCATACGACAGCATTAAAAGGGATCGTTAAAGTTTGTGTAAATGGCTGTAGATCTAGAGTGCGAATAGGTAACAAGCTCTCAGATTCGTTTGAAATAAACAGTGGACTGAAACAAGGAGACGCGCTGTCACCTCTTCTTTTTAATATAATCCTGGAAAAAGTAGTAAGAACCGCACAAATTAGAACAGAACTACTGACAGTAAATGGACCAAAATTACTACTAGCATACGCGGATGACATTGACATTGTAGGAAATACCGTCACCAATGTAAAAGAAACCTTCAATAAATTAGAGAGAGAGGCAAAAAATATCGGTCTAAGGGTCAATGAAGAGAAAACCAAATATATGTGCATTAACAGACAAAAGAGACGAGATAGAATAGGACAAAATGTAACAATAGACGCCTATAACTTTGAGAGAGTGGAGAGTTTAAAATATCTCGGAGCAACTATCACCACAGATAACGATATCACGGAAGAGATAAAAGGGAGAATTCAGGCAGCAAACAGATGTATGTATAGCCTCCACAACACTATTAAATCCAAGAGCCTAACACGAACATCAAAAATCAGGATATATAAAACAGTAATTAGACCGGTGCTCATGTATGGGTTTGAGACGTGGACGCTGACAAAAGCAATGGAAAGCAAACTCAGATGCTTTGAGAGAAAAATCCTCAGAAAGATCTTCGGTCCCTATCACGATCCGAATACTAACCAATACCGAATGAGAACAAATGCCGAGGTCAAACAAATGTATAGTGCTAGCGACGTAGTCCAAGAGATTAAATCCCAACGTCTAAGATGGGCCGGCCATGTTCATAGGCTCCCTAATAACCGCCTTACCAAGTTAATCTGGGAAGAAGTCCCGACAGGGAGAAGGCCCTTAGGACGTCCACGAATGCGATGGAGAGATAATATATGGTCAGATTTGAGAACAATGGGGCTACCCACTGACTTAAACATCATGGACGACCATTCGAGATGGAAGCAGGTTGTGCAGTCAGCCAAGACCCACCCCGGGTTGTAGTGCTACCAGAAGAAGAAGAATATTTGGTTTGTTTTTTCTAGTATGTAAGATATTTAGTCTCATTTTTTAAACTTTTTGATATTGAGTTTATATTGTAAGTATTTTCAAGTTTTGAATCCTAACTGCGATATTGTATATTGTACTTAAAACTGTTAATGAGGGTTACCCCGTGTATTAAATAAAAAAAAAGAAATAATCAGAAAAATACTACCTTATTATAAAAACATGAGTATCTAGATATCGCCGTCTGATTTCTACCATCTCTGCCATGTGTTTGAAGAAAATCAGAACATTCACCCCTCAATGTGTTAACACAGCCATCCAGATTGATATATAGTCTTGAAGCATTATATATAAGTAATGAAGACTGTTCGGGTACAAACTCATTTTTTTCATCTACCACGTTTCTATGTTTTCCAGTCAAATTCCAAAATTGTTTAAACGTTATAAAAGGTTTTGGAATCGTTTCTAAATCGTAGATTGTTCCGTTAATACAGTCTGTGGAGCTGCAAAATATATCAATAATTTAATTATTAACAATATATATGAAGGAATAAAACATTAAAAAAATTTTGTGGTAAAGTAAACATATAATTTTTTAAATAGGACACCCTGTATATTTTCTCATATTTAGAAATCCTCTCATAATAGTAGGGGAGCCCAAGCGGGGATTTCGGGATTTACTAAAGCGCGGCAGATTATTATACAGAGAGAATCCTTGTACCCAGTTAAGTACTTCCACCAAATATGAACCCCATATATATGGCCGCCCGTCAAGGATAAAGGATCAGATTAGTAAAAAAAAATTGATCATCTGAAATCTCGAGCGCGTGATTAAGGTAGGGTGAGTTAGTTACATGCTAAAGAGTGTATATTCCACTAATCTGACAATTTGAGAGTGACGCAAAGAAGGGGGAGGGCGACAAAGTTGTAAAAAAAAACGTCATCTCGACATTCTCGAGCGTGGCTAAATTTTTTTTTATTTTGAAGGGAATAATTGAAGAATTACAAAAAATATATAATCTGACGATTTCCACAAGCCGAAGTAATAAAAATTCATCGATAAAGTTTAATACGTGCAGCTACGTGATGCCTATATTACCCTCTCCGCGTTTCTATTCCTCTCTCACTCTTTCTCTATCTCTCATACCGTCCCCACTCTGGTTTCTGTTGCCATGACGCCATGACAGCTGATCACACAAACGCGTTTGTGGCATGATATTGTTTACAACGTATTTCCAACGTTTTTGCTCATTTTGTGATTTTAACATAAGTAAGGTGAATTTAAGTTTATAAATATTTACTATGAGTGATAATAATATAAAGTGTGTATTTTGTGGTGAAGCTACTTTGCAAAAAACAATTAAATTTACATTAGACACATTACAAAAATGTATAAATATTTTAGAATATCGTCGAAGCAAACCGGTTTTCAGAAAATCCCGAACAAGATACGATAATCTTGAACTTTCGAAAGAATCTTCATTACATGAAGTCTATCACGCACAGTGCTACAAATTATTTACTGCAATAAAAATACCACCAGACTTTCAGTATTTACAACAGCAACAACAGCAAAGTGTAGTGGAATATGATAATGCATCAGAAGTTCAGAGGAATAGCTCAGAATCACATGCTCCTGTTTCTGGAGAGTGCTCCAAGTCACATGTTTCTGTTCCTGGAGAGTGTTCTGAGTCACAAGTTCCTGTTTCTGGAGAGTGCTCCAAATCATATGCTACTGTTGATTCCACATCTACTGAGGCTGTTGGTACATCAACAGATGAGTGAGTTTTAGTATGACTTTATGTAGTAAATATTAAAAAAAAAAGTTATTGAATTTTTTTTTAGTTAAATTTATAGACCAAAAAAATCATTATTCAAAAAAAAAACCTAGGGGACATCCATTAATTATGTGAGCTCGAAATGGGGTCCAATAGAATCTCATTGAGTCTCACTTACACCGAGGGGAGGATAATTGAAAATCTGACGTCATCTTAAAAAAATATAAATTATTACAAATATTAAAGAAAAAATTATTTTAAATAACAGATGATATATGTCCAATTATATCAATCGAAAAAGTACATGAGTCTCCATAGATTGAGTGAAAAATTGAGAAATGTACTATTTTTACCTGTTTTTGCTTTAAATTTCATTTAATTTGAATAAATTATCTATAGTATACCGAAACGGTTATTTTCCCGAATAATAAAAAAAATTAGTTTAAATAATTTATAGCGTAAATCTCATTAAATGTCACCTAAGGGGGTAGGGGTCTAAAATGATCGAAAAATAGCTGACGTAATTAATGGGTGTTCCTTCATTATTTCTTGCGTCAACATAACTATTAATACCATTATAAAACATGAACTAATCTATTTCTTTTATCAATCTTTTAATTTCATAATATAATCTTCAGCTTTATTATGTTATTGTTAAAAAATTTGCAGAGCGGGAGAATACAGCAACATTCAAGTAGACTTGGAGGATTTCAATGATTCATTCAACACAGATAAGCCTGTCGCTCATAACGATTCAGCATCCCAAACTTGCTTCATTTGCGAAAAACAACGTTTTTTTTTTTCTTTCAACAAATTTCAATGATTTCTTGTTACAGATACGCAATCTGAGGATAAAATCGAGCCAGAAGAAGAAGATGATTCTACCGATGAAGATGAAAAAAAAAAAAAATACTCAAAAAAATTTCATTGTTTATAATTATTTTCTTGTAAATACAAGTATTGTACTTAAAAAAAAAACATACGATTTTTTATTTGCATGCTATTTCCTGAGCTTTTCAATTAATTAAGTTCAATGATCTAAAAAAATTAAAAAAAAAACTTTAAATTATCAGATTAGGCGAACCCCCCAGATAATCGTCAGATTATGAGACAGCAACATCTAGGGCTTATAGATGAACCATATATATCTTAATCTGACGCGCTTGAGTATTTCAAAATGGCGAATTTTTTTGCACATTCTAATAACGGCCGCGAGTTCGCGTCACATCCAAATCGTCAGATTATTATGTAAGAGCTTTTTATCAGGTTCACTTAACATCCCCTCAGAAAATCTGACGCGCTCGATTAAATTTTTTTTTTTTTTGATTTTCAACCCTTACGTACGACCACCCCCATCATGGAAACAATCAGATTAACATACATACATTCTTAAAAATACGTAGGACATGGATGATATCAATATCTGACGCGCTCGAGTATGTCCATGCAACAGTTTTTTTTTACATTTTTGAAAATCTATAGCGGCTGCCCCCACCGATGAAAAGGTATATATTATATAAGATTTTTTTCTTTTTATCATCTAAGCTTCGCAATCCAATAGGTCTCTACGACGCTCGAGTAAATCCCGATTTAGCATCGTGGGCTCCCCTACTATAATCCCTGTTCTTACAATATGGGTTTGGTACTACTATATAGGGTATTTAACGAGTATAATACTGACCATTTTTATTTCAATATCGCTATAAAATAAACACTCTGTAAATCAAGAAGGAAGAAGGAATACATAAGTAAGTATTCATTTTACATATATAAAATAAACAGTATGTTTAAGTTTTTAAATTAAGTTTAACAGAAATCATTGACAAATATTCGTAAGATGTTCTTTGCTTTATTTCGTCATTACTTTTCCTATCCATTGCTGTTACTGTCTTCGCAGACATTCCATCTCTGTTGCTACTATCTCACTGCTGTTTTTCTCACCCTACTGAGACTGAGTTAAGTTGTCGGTTAGTTGTTCTTGTTTGTCCTAATATTTGCGCAATTTCTTCCTCTGTTTTTGCCTTTTTCGTGATTATAAACCCCAAGTATTTGAATTTATCCTTTCTTTTGATTGTTACGTTGTCATCAATCTATAGATCTTCTATGTTTTCTTCACTTGTAGATAGGTACTCTGTTTTCGCGAGGTTAATATCTAGGCCAGCCTTGGTATATTCTTCTTATAGTTTCTTCATCATGTAGCTGAGGTCGTCTTGGTCTTGTGCAATCACTACTTGATCGTCTACAAAGCTTAACGTATATAGGTATTTGTTCCGTACCGGTACTCCCATACAATAGGGTTGGAGATGTGGAACAACCCTGCAGGAGCCCTTTTATTGTGGTGAAGTCTCCTATGATTCTTGTTTTCACTTTAATGGACACTTTATTTTGTTTATACAGAGCTTTTGTAGCTTTTATAAGTTCCGTCTGTATTTCTAATTTGTACATTGCCTCCCATAGTTCTGACCTTGGTACAGAGTGATACGCCTTTCTCAGGTCCACAAATGCCAAATGTATATCTCTATTTTTTACTTTTTTCTTTTCCAACAGTTGTTCCAGTGTGTATATGTGGTCTATGCATGATCTTCCTGCCATGAAGCCTGCCTGATCCTCCCCGATTTTGCCTTTTATCGCTTGCTCTTTTCTCGCAGTATCTTCCCATATAATCTTCCTATTGATGATATTACGCTTATTCCTCTGCAGTTTTCTATCTCCTTTCTTAAATATAGATGTCATATATGCCTCCGTCCATTCCTTTGGGAGCTGTTCTCCATTTATGGCTTTCTGAAATATTCATTGTATCATCCGGTGTAATTTTTTTGAGCCGTACTTTATAAGCTCAGGTGAGATGCCTCCAGGTCCCGGTGCTTACTTATTTTTGATTGCTTTTATGGGCATTCTCATTTACCTATCTGTTATTTCTATTTCTTGTTGTGGGGATCTGCTTCGTCTTCGCCTGTTTTCTTTTCCAATGAATTGTGGTCTTTGTTATGTTAACAGTTCCTTGTAATAGTCCTTTCATTCTTTGTCCTGCATATTTCCCAATTTAATTTTTTCTTTTGAGTTTTGTTTCAATCCTCTCAGTACTTTCCATGACTCCGAAGTTCTTGTACCTCCTATGCAGGTTCTTTCCCATTCTTCATTCTTTTTTTGTGATATTCGTATTCAATAAATAACTAATAACAAAAAATAAATCCAAACAATATGCAATAAATGTAAGTATTAGTTTTTAGATTAATGTTATATCAAAAATATTCTAAGCCAAGAAGTTTTTAAAACATTCATAACTGTGGATTGTGACTTGCAATAATTATTAATAAGTAAAAGGCCGCTGGGCCTGACTTTGAAAGATCGCGTAAGAAATGAGGAGATACGCCGACGAACTGGCGTAGACGATATTATACTGCGAATCAATAAACAAAAGTGGAGGTGGGCTGGACATGTTGCTAGAATGGAAGACGGAAGATGGACGAAGAGATTATTGGAGTGGAGACCAAGAGCCGACAAGCGAAGTCGAGGCAGACCACCCACCCGATGGACCGACGACCTAAGGAGAATAGAAACAAACTGGATTGCAGCAGCTAGAGATAGAGAGAACTGGAGACGTTTGGAGGAGGCCTATATCCAACAATGGATGTGAAAATTCGGCTGGATGATGATGATGATGATGAAAAGGCCACTTGGATTAGTTAACAACGGTAAAATAGCAGGCTTTGAAGAAATGACTGTTTTTATATTATAAACTTTTTAACCCTTTTTGGTCGGACTTTTTTTTGTTTATATTAAATGGTGAATAATTTGTGTTTAGGACACATTAGGAAATCAACCACATGATGTGGTTGATTTAAGTATTTTAAAAACAAAATGGTGTAGAGTGGGTATCAGCAAACAGGTATCAAATAACTTCATAAATTTTGTTTCTAAACATTCTGCGTGTAGTTTCGAAATATAAATGGGGTGCAGATGTTAAAATATCCCTTAATTTTTATAAGTCATACATCCGCTCAATAATGGATTATGGATGTACTATTTATGCCTCAACTAGCAAATCAAACTTATTAATCTTAGACAGAATTCAATATAAGGCAATTAAAATAAGTCTAGGAATTATGATGTCGTCACCGAATTGTGCAGTTCTCGCTGAAGCACAAGAACCGCCTTTGTGCCTTCGAGTGCCTACTTAGCTAATAAACAGCCAATAAAGTATAGGACGTTTAGTACATTTATGGTCAAAAAAATATCAAATATAACGGTCCAGAATCTTACAAACAAATATTGGAGAATTAAAACGTCTCCCCCGCTTGCTGATGCTTTTATTGACACTGAGAGACATAAAGAACTAATACATAGTCAAAAAAAATATCCTATTTACGAAATCGATTTTGTAGCCTTAATATTTAAACCAACCATTATAATTCCAAACTATCCAGATCATATATTTCTATCAAAATTAATTTTCAAATCTATACTCTGTAATTTAGGAGAGAATAAAATCATCATCTATACGGATGGATAAAAAAAAGATTTAAAAGAGGCTGTGCATTTTTAGTTTCTAACATTAACCATGTTGAGCAATATTAAGTCCCTCATTACTTATCGACTTTTAGTGCAGAAGCTATAGCTATTAGGAAAGCTTTAGATTAGTGCCAGATGGATTTACTTTTATCTGTGGTAATTGTAACAGACTCTCTCTCGGTTTTGCACGCCATTAAAAGACTCCTTTTAATCATTATAACAAAAATATTCTTCTATCTATAAAAAATAGTCTATATAAACTGCAGGAGTATGGTGTACGAGTTACATTAGTCTGGGTTAGAGGTCAGTCAGGAATAACTGGGAATGAAGCAGTTGATCTCGCAGCTAAAAAAGCATTTGACTCAGAATTGAAAGTAAACATGTGCAACTCATGAGATCTTATTAATTTATATAAGGCTGATGTTAGGGTTAGATGGGAAGCTCAGTACAGTAAATTTTCAACTACATCAGAGAACCTCTATTTTAAACTTCAACTAGTTTTACCGACGAACATTCCTTACATCAATTCGTGGGATTATAATAGATGTAAGTCATCAATTATATCACGTTTAAAACTTAATCATGGTCGCTTTCCAGCACATTTGTTTAGGATTGGGATTCTCCGTGTTGTCCTCACTGTCCAGAAAAACCTTTAGCCGATACAAATCACATTTTCTTAGAGTGTCAAAAATATACTACTGCACATACAAATATGCTGTACCAAGAACTGAAAAATTTGTAAGTCTACCAGCTAACATTTCTTATTACTTTATTAGCACAACAAGAAAAGAAATATACAAACTTTTAATCAAGTTTGTTTTAGAAGCAAAAATAGATATTTAGCTCATATATGGTTTTATATATATATATATATATATATATATATATATATATATATATATATATATATATTTACAAACATTGTAATTAGAATCCAAACCTCTATTTTACCCCATTTGTTAATACCTCCTGCCCGTGACCTAGTCTAGTTTGTCTTAATAAAAATGGTTTGATGGGTCCCTAGACAAGAAAGTACCTATACAACTACTTTTATTTTTCAGATAAAAAAAAGTCGTATAATTCCTCTTTTCGAAAAAGTATGAAATGGTATAGAAAGTTGGCTGTGGAACTTATTGTTGATGCTGCTCTTGTGAATGCTTTCGTATTACATCAAGAAGTAACGAAAGGCAAAATGACAATAACAAAATTCAGGGAAAACCTCATAAAAGTTAAAAAAGACATATTTTACTACCAATTTTTTACTCTTTATCTGTTATGACTTTTTAGCTTCGACAAAACAAGATGAAACTGACCCACAGGAAGTTTCAACTAAAAATAATTCTTTGAATGACATGGAGAAATGGTAAATTTGTGCAAATTGTTACAAAGAAAATGTTGCATTTATGGATAGAAGTCAGCGAATAAAACAAAAAAAAACTAAATATCGGTGCCAGTCCTGCGAAACATATTTTTTCTTTGACTGTTTTTTTCTAAAACATAATTTTGTTTCTAAAAACTAGTTTTAGGGTCTTATTGCCATATAATTTTTTCTTTCTAAATAAAAAATATGAATATCTATGTGTTTTGCTGAAAAAAAGTTTGACCAATTGTAGGGACTTGTCATGTATGCCACACAGAAACCAACTTTACTATCATTTTTGTATATCCTTTATAAACCTCTTCATAAGCATTATTCAGTGGTTTGGTGCATTTCCGTTACCCACCGTGGCTAAACATAAATTAGATAGTTTTTTTCTTGAAAATGGTGGATATGTGTTAAACAATTCTTGAATATGTTTTTAAAAATATGAAGAGTTTGTATAAGATTTTATAGGTCTAAACTTAATATTTTTGATTTATTTACACTTTTATTCAGAAAAATGGTGAAAATTGTGAAATCATTTTGGCAAAAGTCATCAACAATTTATTTCATTTTTTACTACTTTAGGGTTTGTTAATAAAAAAATTCACCAAAAATTCTTAATACCGCCCGTTTCAAAGATTTTGATTAAATATAATGGTTTTAACTTACAGACAAAAATTCTAAAAGTAGCCATTTTTCACTTAAATTGTTACTAAATAAAAATATGCGAAAAAAAATGTTTGAGGAATTTGTACAACTTTTGTTATTCTACCCACGAAACTAAAACAATTGTGGAAGAACTATTAGGGACAAAAAAGGGTAGGTATTACGTTTTTAGTATTTTATTTCCTCAAATTATTTTTTATCAAATATACTTTATTTTAAAGTGGAAAATGTTTTGATTATGTTACTTACTGTATAATTTGTGAAGGTTCATCATATTCAACAGTGTGACAAGAAACCATAATGACCTCATTGGGAAGTTTGGACCAGAATTGAGTAGGTGATATTTCCGAACCAACTTCTTTGCCTGCAGCTTTGGTTGTTGCTATAGCAGACTCACAGTGGGCAAACTTGACAGCATCCTCAATAGTTATATAAACATTTATATTGGTAGAAGTAATATTTTCTTTACAAATACGATCACAGGTGAAGGGTTTTTTAATTTTTGTGCATTTTGTTCCTCGGCATTCGAAGAAGCCGTTTAATTTTACATTATCCTTATCACTATCAACTGTAAATCCATCCGCTTTGTAATGGCAGTCATAAAGTTGGGACATATTGGAACAATGCCCTAAGGAGCAATTGAAGAGGCCTTTGAGAGATGCGCATTCTGTTCCATTATTGCAATTGTGTTTTTTCAGCTGGTTGGAGTTGACTGGTGGACAAGTTGATGATTGGAAGTTGGTACAGTTTAGGAATTGGACCCTAGTTCCATTTTGACGGGTAATGGCGTGGATCTGAGGACAAAATCCAGAGGTTTTGGTCAAACACCACTCTCCACAAGAAGCCCAACTGCAATTATTTTCTGTACTAATGTTAATTGTTTGGCACATTACAGGTGTTTCATCGAATCCACTATGGAACGCCCTATACGAGGGAATATATATCGCCACTGTGAGATAAATCAACGAGACAAAACTAAATACAACTATTAGTTGACAGAAGCATATAAATCCACATATTCGCTTGTCTTGTTGGGGAATAATACGCGGCTTGCATTTGTTTCTTCTACTCATTGTAAATTCTTGTTTTTGTTTAAAGGCACTTTTTTTACTTTTTGGTGTTCTAACTCTACATCTTAGGGATTTTTAACCTACGTTACACTTTAATGTTGTGAAAGGACTAGCATATTATGGTTGTGTTACATTACAAGACGTTCACGCAAGCGTGGCAGCGTTTGTCCGATAAAAATATTAAATTTTCGCTATATACTTATCATAAAAGGATCTTTCGACAAATTGGCGAACTTTAAGGACATTGTATTTTTATCCTAAAAAAAACCGCTTTAGATTATATAAAATATCCATTCTTTATTTAAAACGGGATTGATTTTATTTTACGAGCTAGGCTGGTATCGATTGTGTACGTACAATACGCTTTTACAGCGCAACGTCTATTGATACAGATTGTCCAACAAACAACTAAATATGGCCCAAATGTAAAATTACAGTAAACTTATTGATCTTTGATAAAATTTTGTGCTTTTGCAATTAAACTTGCTAATATTTGATTTTTTTTTGTCGATTATATTACTAGAGCTCGTAATTTTTTCATATCTTTCAGGATGTAAAAATTTAAATTAAATTTGAGAAATTAGTACTACTACTAATAATAATGTCTCTACGACTATTCTGCGTTTTTTCCTATCTCTATTTCTGTTAGCTTTATCTATTTCTTATTTTCATTGTTTCTTTCACCGTAATATAATACCTTTACTACTAATTTATCATTAGACTTCTCCAATAGTTGTTTTTTCTTCTCTAGTTCCATGCCTGTTATCGATCGTTGGATATTACGTTGGCTACCATATTCGCTATCTAGGCTTTATTGACAGAAGCTCTCAATAATGATAAGTTCGATTTTTCGTACCATTGCCTCAATTTTTTCAGGCATGATGTAGTTCTGCTACCAGGACCACGTCTACCTTAAATATTTTTCCGTATAATGAGAAGCAAAAGTTTATATTTTTCAGGGTGCTTCACAATGTGACCGTATTCCAGCTTGCGTATTTTTATTATATTAACCAGTTTCCAGTATTATATTAACCAATTTGAAAAAACTAAATCATGATAATGACTAAATCAGCAGATTCAAATATCCAATTGATTGTTGAGGATACTGTAATTGGGAGTGTGGATAATTACAAATATTTAGGAACATGGATAACATCAAATGTAGACCAAACCAAAGAAATTAAGACACGTATTGATATAGCACGTCTATCATTCGATAGACTAAAACAGTTTATTTGTTGTCGGGATATAAGGTTACGACTACGCCTAAGAATGTTTCCGTACAGTACCTGGTACGGTACTGGTACAGCACCTTCCTATTACAGGAAGAATCAATAAAAGATCTATACAAAAGAAGACTAGACCAAAAACTAGAAGAATTCAGATATGACACGTTAGATGAAATGCATGAACACATAAAAACCTGCCTGATTTCAGCGGCCTCAGAAGCTCTTGGAGAAGACGACCAAAGTAACACCCATCAGAATATCAAATTAAGGGAAGACACATTGAAATGTATAAAAGAAAAGAAAAAACTACACATAAAATACCTAAACACCAAAAAACAGAAAGACTTAGACCTATATAGAGCGAAAAACAGAGAGGTAAAGAAAAGAGTAACAAATGAAAAGAACGAACGATGGGAACAAGCATGCACAGAGATAGAACGACATATCGGAGGAACGAGAAATTCAGAATCATGGCGAATATTAAAAGCACTCCAACGAAATAAGACAGAGAAAACCCAGATCGGCAAAATTAGTGAAAACGAGTGGCAAGAATACTACGTAGAACTACTTACAGAAAACCGTCCCCAATTTCAGGAAGAGAATACAGAACATGCAGGAAATGGGACATACGACCAGATAGAAATAAGTCTGACAGAAGTCAAGAGAGCAATCAAGATATTGAAGAACAAAAAGCCAAAGGACCCAGAGGGATACCAAACGAACTAATTAAAAACGGAACGGAAAAGTTATTCCGCATGCTACACAGAATGTTCGAAAGAGGACTAAATGGAGAGGAAATACCTGCGAAATGGACACAAGCATACATCACATCCATACATAAGAAAGGAAACAGGAAAAAATGTGAAAACTACAGAGGAATTAGTATAATATCGTCGGTAGGTAGACTTTACGGGAAAATTATCAAGGAAAAACTAGAAACTGAAATAATAGGAAAAATTGGAGAAGACCAAGCAGGGTTCACAGTAGGAAAATCAAGCCTAGATCATACGTACACATTAGAACAACTGATAGAGAAGAAAATGGCAAAAGGTAGACCGGTCCATCTGGCGTTTGTTGATCTAAAGAAAGCATACGACTCAATACCTAGAGTCAAATTATGGGAAGCAATGAATGATCTCGGAATCCGACAAACACTAATAAAAGCAGTTAAAGCACTGTACAAAGAAAACAAAGTAGCTATTAAATGTGGAAATAAAGCCTACAATCCATTTAAGACGACAAAAGGACTTCTACAAGGCTGTGCTACGTCCCCTACTCTGTTTAAAATATTCTTGGAAAAGACACTCAAACCATGGAGGAGAAAGTGCGAAGGAATGGGCATACCAGTAAGAGACGAATACCTATACACCTTAAGTTTTGCCGACGATCAAGTAGTCATCGCACAAGATGAAGAAGATCTCAGCTTTATGCTCAGAAAACTAGAAGAAGAGTATAAAAACAATGGAATGGAAATAAACTTAGAGAAAACCGAATACCTAACAACAGAAAACAAGGATATGAGAAACCTAGAGATAGACGAGGGAAGACAAGTAAATGGAACAGATAAATTCAAGTATTTAGGAACCATAATATCGAACCAGGGAACAACAGAAGAAGATATAAACAACAGACTAAGACAAACAAGAAACTGTATAAGACAACTAAATTCAGTGCTGTGGGATAAGAACATTACGATAAAGACAAAAAAGAGGATATATAATACCTTGACAAGAAGTATCCTGACATATGGGTCCGAAAACTGGACAATAAACAAGAGAAATAGAGGTAGAATAAGAGCAGTAGAAATGGAGTTCCTGAGGAGAAGCTGTAGACTTACAAAAAGAGACAGAATTGAAAACGCAGAGATTAAGCGGAGAATGGGAGTGCAATCAGACATAATCGACTATATAGAGGAGAAGAGACTATCCTGGTACGGCCACGTCAGAAGAGCGGACAGAGGACGCTGGATAAACAAAATCACAGAATGGAGCCCGATCGGAAGAAGAAAGAGAGGAAGACCCCGAAGGTCATTCAGAGACAAAATCGACGAGGCTATGGAGAAAAGAACCCTGCGAGATGGAGACTGGAATGACAGGGAAAATTGGAGAAAACGGTTGAGTGAAGGAAGACAGTGAAAACTGTGGATATCCTTAGTAGGTATCTCCCCTCTAACTTTCTTTTCGTAGCACTCTCTACACAATATTTTCTTACAATAGCAGCCACTCCTTCCTTTTTTAATAATGTATGATTTTTTTATACATTTTCTTGTAATCGGTTGCCGTGGGACATCAGCATGTCGATTAGCTTCTAAACCTTCTTTTAGTAAGTTTGCGACAACAATCTCACAAAACTTGCTTATTGTAATGTTTGTATTAGATAGTTCTTTGAAAATTATATGCGGATTTACAATAGTTGTGCTCAGTACGATTTCCATTGCGATCTTGCGATACCACTTCAGTGAACGCTGCAAAGCAGAATTATAACTGGCCATCTGGTCAGACAAATCGATTGAAGCTTTGCATTGTAGTCTATTATAGCTTCTGGTTTACTTATAGGGCCCGTGAATCTTTCAATAGTTTTAGAACTGTCAGTATGCTGAGTTGATAAAATCAGTACATCACGCTTATCATGCCACTTGATGATAGCAAAAATTTCACCATTTTTAAGTTTTTTACTTAGAACGTCTTTAGGGTTTCCTCTGCTATTTGCCCTCAAAGTTCCCAGCAAATGCGTACGGTTATCTAGAAGAAGGTAAGCCAATTCAAGGCTTGTATAAAAATTATCGGTAATAATTGTACAACCTGCATTTAGAAGAATTCTTGAAAGATTCATTACCGCATTTGTAGGAACTGAAGCTCCTCTGTCCCTCTCTTGTCCAGCGTATATCTGAAAGTTCCAAGTGTAGCCTTTCCCGCAACACAGCTTGAATAGTTTCTCACCCCATATTTGTGTGTTTTCTGGGATTTTCTGGAATTATTTTCATTTTGAGCTTAATTTTGGTCACTACTGTTTTGTGATCTGGTCCTATGTCGGCACTTGTATAGGTTTTTGCGGATATAATTGCGTTCCTGTTTCTTTGTCTAACTAATACATAGTCTATTGGTTTCTTACAAGTCTCTCTTCTTGATCTGCTGGTGACTTCCAGGTATATAGTCTTCTCTTTCGCATTTTGAACAATGTATTAGCTATAACAAAATTATTGTTTTGGCAAAATTCGATAAGCTCTTACTGGGCATCAAATAGGTCATGAGATCTTCAACACGAATTACCAAGTCTTTTGTGGCATTTTTAGTAACCACATTAAAGATGCATCTCGTACTTACAATAAATGCGAAATGACGATTCATCCAACACGCTTCACACTTTCAATCGAAAATCCATTTGTAACGACATTATAAACGACAAAAAATAGAAGCTAACAAAATGCTCAAAGATTCTGAAAATCGATTTTCAGCACTTTCTCTAGGTAAAACAGTATTACTCACACTAGATAAAGTTCACCGCAATCCTTTAGATCATCATAATATATTTGGTGTCATAATGGCAGTAAAACGCGATTTATATCAAATTGGAACAGTTCATGGTATTATT